GTGGCCTGGGCGACGACCCCCCCCCGGCCGAAAGAGCCGGTCCTGGCCGGGGGGGGGCTGAGAGCTTTGGGGGGGGGATAGAAGGAACGTTAAAGGACCGTTTCAGGGGCTGCAGGAAGGAACGGGAGGGGGCACCGGGGGCTGGGAGAGGCCGGGCTCCCCTTGGAAGGGCCGAGGAGGCGGATCCCAAGAGGCCACCAGGGGGAGGGGGAGGGGGAGGGTTGCAGGCTCTTGCAGACCCTTACTGGGACCCCTCCCTTGTGGGGCTTATGCAGAAATGAGCTTGTCTTCACTTTTTACGAGAATGAATTTGTGAGTCTCCAGAGTGCTGACAGTGACAAATAACCAGGCTCTGCTTAAGGCAGGAGTGGCGCAACTTTTGCCCCGTGGTCCAACTCTGTGGTCTTTCTTTGTGGTCCAAGGAATCCTATTCTTTAAATCACTGGCAGAGAAGTAGAGTCATGAAATGCAAGGACTGTAGCAACAATAATAAACGGAATATATTTTTTTTAAAAAAAAGAATCCCCCCAAATCGAGGAAAAGATACAGATATTCTGATGACTGTCTGAGTACGTGTCATGTCTTTATTCACTTTGTGATATTGTTCTGCCAAAATAAGTGCAGCTCGCAGTTACAAGAACTCACCCGACCTGAGGTTATACTATTTCCTAGGCAACCAGTTGATCAATCAGTGATATTCTACAAGGTGTGCCAGCAATAGGTACTAACTCGTGGAGAGAGACAGTTATTAAAATTGCCACTTGTTGGCTGTAACATTGCTGTTCCTTTGGCTGTTCCAGTTCTTATTTACTTTATTTGCATGTGTGCTGTTGGCTGACAGCGAATAATCATCCCAAAATAACACCATTTATTTTTGTTTTACATAGAAACTGCTGAAAGTGGCTTTGAAGGTGAAGTACAATGAAGAACCAAGATGGCGAAAGCAAAGCTTCTCTTCCACCCCCCAGCCCTTGCAAAATAAGGGGTGTTCTGGGGCCAGAAGATAGTGACTTAGCTGAGGCTCCTGGGGGCATTGCAGGAAGTGGAGATTGTCACCACCAACTTGGCCTCTCTGGCTTGAAACACTTTGCTGATGATAGGCTTGAAATGCCAGTGAACGAGGAGCAGAGGAAGAAAGAAGAGGGTGTGTTTTCCCTGAGATTCACTAGTTTTATTTCTCTTTAAATGTAGAATTTGGGGCACCACCATCATTTGAGAGAATGATTCTTACTCTATCCTTAACTAATTCTCTCAAGAGCTGTGTTTTCATTTGTTTTTTTCCTCTTTGGACTTCTCCCCTCTTAATGGTGAATGGTGCTTTCTACCATCTGCAGCACATCTGGCAGAGGAGGCTGTGCCTTGCCAGCCAGTCCCGGATGTTTCTGAAGAGCTGAGCAGACAGCTGGAGGACATTCTGAGCACTTATTGCAGGGACTCCAACCAGGAAGCCCCTGGAGAGGACAACGGCCAGAATGAGCCTGTGGAGCTGGATGAGCCAGAGAAGTGCCGAAGCGAGTCCCCCCGGAACGGGGACCAGGAGCAAAGCTGCCCTGAGATAAACGGCGAGAAGGAGGGTCCCAGGGGAATCAGCGATGAGAGTGGAGAGCGTGACCACAAACGCGTCCAGGAGAAAAAGAAGCCCAGAGGACTTGGTAGGAAGTTCTTTGCTGATGGGCCTACATTCCCTTTGTTCTTCCAAAAAGCAGGCAGTGAGAAGGATTGGGGAAGGGACATGTGCACAGAGAGGCTACCATTTCTCTCTCTCTCTCTCATACACACACACACACACACACACACACACACACACACACACACACACACACACACACACACAGAGTTGCTAAATCATCCTGGCCTTAGCAGTTGTTAGTCTTGGAAGGGGCAACCCATGTTAAATCATTTGGGGTGATTTTTGGCATCTCACGACTCACCTACCTCTTAAGGTGGTTGTTGTGTAACTAAAATACGGGGAGGCTCCCAGCTACCTTACCTCCAGTGATTATAACAGTCTATAACTAGAATGTGTCTAGTTTTATTTCCCACGTTCTAGAGGCTTCTTCGTACCCGAGAGGCTGCTGTTTCCAGCTCCCTAAAAAGCTGCCCTGCCCCCACGTCTTTGTGCTTGCTCTGAATGAGCCTTTGCTTTGCTTCCAGGCAAGGAGATCACTCTTCTGATGCAGACCCTCAACACCCTCAGTACGTCTGAGGAGAAGCTGGCAGCCCTCTGCAAGAAATACGCGGAACTGGTCAGTGCCTGGCAGGGGTGGAGAGGCGACTGGAGAATCTCCTCCGCTCTCCCGCGGGCAGGGCAGCGGGTGGTCCAGGGGGAGTTGGATGCCTTCAGGTCATCTTCACTCAGGCAGCTGCAAGAGATAAAAGAATCCTCCCTTTACAAACATGAGCTCAGCAGGGAAGCCCACTATGGCCCCTCTTTGGATCTTGTTCGTATAAGGGAGCAAGCGAAGGAGTAACAATGTCCTACTTTAAAGGCTCTGTTGTTCCATCCTCTCAATAAAACAGAGTTCAATATTAGGGTGTCTCCTTTACCTGTCTGGCCTACTTGAAGGGCTGACAGTTTTGTTGCTGAAATATTAGCTTTTTTTTAAACATCTCATGCTCTTATTTTTCAGGGAGATTCTTCAGTCGTTTCTGCTACGTGATGTACTCATTCCTTCTTTTTCTTCCTTCCCTTCTTGTCCCATCAGCTGGAAGAGCACCGAAACTCTCAGAAGCAGATGAAAATACTGCAGAAGAAGCAGACTCAGCTGGTGCAGGAGAAGGACCATCTCCGAAGTGAGCACAACAAGGCCGTTTTGGCTCGTACCAAATTGGAAAGCCTGTGCCGGGAGCTACAAAGACATAACCGCACTCTCAAGGTACATGAGGCTGGCTGATGCCAGGTGAGAAAATGGTCAGAGCCTACCTTGACTCACACCCCACACCCCCCGCAATACCCCACCTCTCAGAGCCCAAAGTGGCAGCCCATTCCAGGAATTTTCCAGGCATCTCCTGGCCCTTTGAGGGGAAGGGAAGGTTAAGGGGCTCAACAGTCTGTTCAGGGAAGAGGAGGCTTAGGAGCCAGCCAGTACCGATGGACCCCTGAAAAGGAACCCAAAGTTCTGTTTCCCCCCCCAGGTCACATGACTGCATTTTGGTCGCTTGGCAAGGCCTACAATTTACAGCCATTTGCAGCATCCTGGAGTTTACTATGTTTGTTCCAGAAACAGAAACAGGCATTTCCTTCCGGTCTGTGGCAAAATCACCCCACTCTGGTTTTCATAACCACCGCTGCAGAAAAGGCCATAAAATCGGCTGTGGTCACATGATGGCCCGCTTTACAACCATTGTGACTTATGACTGAAATTGCAGCCTCAGATATGTTTGTAAATTGAGGACTACCTTCACCTCAAGAGCAACCAGGGTTCCAGTATAATGAACAAGACAAGTGCCTGTTTTTAAAAATGTAAAATGATAAAAATCCTCTCTCCATAATGGGAAGAGTAGCTGGCACCTTGCCCACAATTGCAAGCGATAAAGACTTAGAGCCAAACGGCACTCCCGGAACGTTGGTATTCGGCCCACTGAAGGCCGTGCACAGACGCTGCCCCCCGTCCGGACCTTAACAGGCCACGAGAGAGAGAGAGAGAGAGGGAAAGTGCCTGGCGTGGATTCGGGAGTGGCTGATTGTAACTTCCTGTTCTTTGAAGACCGGCAGCAGCTCCTCCGTGTTTGCTAGCCGGGGTTCTTCCGACTCGGCCTCTTTGCATTGTCAGAGTCGCCTGGAAGGCTCTCCCACTTTCCCCCGCAGGAGGAGGGCGTCCAGCGAGCTCGCGAGGAGGAAGAGAAGCGGAAGGAGGTAACCTCCCACTTCCAGGTGATGCTCAATGACATCCAGCTGCAGATGGAACAGCACAACGAACGCAATTCCAAACTGCGCCAGGAGAACATGGAACTGGCCGAAAGGCTGAAGAAGCTCATAGAGCAGTACGAACTGCGAGAGGAGGTGAGCGGCGGGCAGGGAGGGAGGGAGGGAGGGAGGGGGAGGATGAGGGATGGGCCCTCCTGCCTGGCCTGCTGCTCTTCAGTTGTGCCACCAGCCCCTGAGATGTGTCTCCCCTCAGACGTGTCTCCCCTCAGACGAGCCCTTTTCTGCCAGATTTGCTTGTCCTCTTGGTCATTCGACAGATCTCCTCCTGAGTTCTAGAAAAGATAGTGCATATAGGTAGTCCTCGGCTTATGGCTGTAATGCAGGTTAGCCATTACAGTCTTAAGTGGTGATGGTCGTTAAGCGAAATCACCTCACTTAACGACTTCCCCGTCCCTGCTCTCCCTGATGCAGTCATTAAGTGTAGCATGGGGTGCCTCTGGTGGGGGAGGCCCTGAGAGCCCTAATCCTGAAGCCTCCCGCACCTCAACACTTTGGGGGTTCCCCCGACTTCTTGGGCCTGCTTCCCACCCCACTGGGCCAAACACCCCTCCTCACTTCCCTTTTGAAGATCGCAGGAGGTCAGGGGAGGGAAAGTCAGGCCACTCCATTGCTGGGCCGCGCGGCACGATCCCGGAAGCGGTCACCATTGTCCAAATGGCCGCATGGAATTGTGGCTGGTCAAAACATGGCAGCTGCTTCAGGGATCGTGCTGCACAGCCCAGCAACGAAGCAGCATCCTTTGTTTTGCTAACGTGAGCTCTGCGGCGTTCTTCTGCAGAGAGGCTGAGGCTGCGGTTTGAGTTGCAAAGCTAGCAAGCCATGCTGGAGGAAGGGAGGGCCCAGCCACCCCCGTATTGCTGTCATTCGTAGGGGAGTCCCTTGTCATCAGGGACTGAGCTTAGCTTGAAAGAAGCTTTACCTCTCCTTAGTTCAGTGATGGCGAACCTTTTAGAGACCGAGTGCCCAAACTGCAACCCAAAACCCACTTATGCATCGTCGGGTGCCGGGTGGGTGTGGCCCATTGGCTGGGTGGGCATGGCCATTGGGTGAGCATGGCCGTGGTGGTAACGGCAGACTGGGTGGGACTAAAAAGTTCAAGTCAATCAATTTCAACTTTGCAAGATCTTTTTTTTTCCCGCGAGAAGTTGAAATTGACTGATTGAACCTTTTTTTTTGCACATGGCGGCGGAGGCCTAAAGTGAAAAGGTTTTATAAAACCCAGCTGAAGGCCTAGGACTGGGGCGACAGCGCGCGTGCCCACAGAGAGGGCTCTGAGTGCCGCCTCTGGCACCCGTGCCATAGGTTCGCCACCACTCACTTAGTTGGTCGCCCCTTCAGGAAAACCTTCCTGTGTCTCCGTTTGCGTTGTCATGATGACACTGTCAGTGTGTATCCAACTGCAACATTTCATGCCCAGAAAATATCTCAGGCTTTCTTCTCATAGGGCTGAATCAAAGTTGGTACAAGCCACGATTCCTTTGGGGAAGGAAGGTGGTGGGATCAGATCAGGCTTGAGAGTTCAGTACTGAGCTAGGCTGTGGCTGCGCCAGTTGCCCTGGACCGACACCCGTTGTGTTTCTCTTGGCAGCACATCGACAAGGTCTTCAAGCACAAGGACCTGCAGCAGCAGTTGGTGGACGCCAAGCTCCAGCAGGCTCAGGAGATGCTGAAAGAGGCGGAGGAGAGGCACCAGCGGGAAAAGGACTTTGTGAGGCTTTGCGTGGTTGCGTCTTTGTTTAACAAACAGAAAGCTGGAGGACGGCCATGTTGCCCTCCTCACGTAGGCCTTGGCAAGGATTAGGAGGGAGCAGATTCTGGGACAGCTTAAGAAAAAGAGGCAACCGAATGAGAAAGGATCTTCAGCTGCCATGGGGGGCTGAAAATCCCAGGAGACTGTGGTGGAGTTGTCAGGAGTTCTAATAATCAATTGTGGGTAGTCCTTGACTTATTTTGTTTAGCAACTGTCCACAGCTGTAGTGGCACTGAAAAAAGTGACATGACCTGTGCTCTTACTTCTGGCATCACCCTGGTCATGTAATCAAAATTCAGGGCCTTGGCAACTGGCATCCATTTACGATGGTTACAGTGTCCCGGGGTCATGTGATTGCCATTTGCCCTCTTCCCAGCCAGCTTTCAACAAGCAGAGTCAGTGGCAGAAATCCAGATTTGTTTAACGACTGTGTCTTGTTTAACAACTGTGGCAAAAAAAGTCATAAAACCGGGTACAACTCATTTAACCCTGAACTGCCTTGTTTAGCAACGGAAATTCTAATCCCAAGCTGAGGACTAGCTGAAATGCAGCCAGAGGGATCGGAGACTTCTTATTGGCTTTTCTTGGTCCTTATCAGACCTGATGATCAGTGAAGCTCTGAGATCTGGATTTGGAAATAGCTTGATAGAGGGGGCAGGTGTCAGGCGTCTGGAACTGGTTTTGCCTTTATCCTTGGAGTCCACCATTTGGGAGCAGAGGCTGAATAGCGGCTGGGGAGGCAGAGGTTCTACGGAAGGAAATTCCCTGCCGGTCGAAGGCTCTCTTTTTCTCTCATCTGGGGTGACCCCAACTTCCCTTCTTGTTCTCCTCCTCTTCCTTCTCTCCTGCAGCTGCTGAAAGAGGCCGTGGAGTCCCAAAGGATGTGTGAGTTGATGAAGCAACAGGAAGCGCATCTTAAACAGCAGGTGGGATGGCAAGGGGCATCTTTGCTCTGCCTCAGTTGGTTTAGCCCAGCCGTCTCCAACCTTGGCAGCTTTTAAGACCTGTGGACGTGGCTGGCTGGGGAACTCTGGGAGTTGAAGTTGCCACAGTTGGAGGCCCCTGGTTTAGCCTAAAGATGCTTGTCTCTTCCCAGAAAGGGAGCTCGGAACTTGCTTTGGGGTTGCTGGGCTCCAAGATAGCAGACACTGTCTTTCCAAACCCAAATTTGGGGTGGATCTGGGCCATCTGTGAAGGGAGTCCAAATGGTGGCTTTTAGGTAATGGTGCAGGATCAAAAAAGGAAGAGGGCTTTACTTGGTTGGTTGCGGCTGCCATCTTGACTTTTTGGACACCACTTGCCCCCGTAGACACCCTGGATGGGACTTGGCTACTGCCACTGCTCTGGGGGCTGGAGAAGAGGAATTTGTCATCCTGCCGTCCCGGTCTCCTTTCTCTCACCTGACCCCGTAGAACAGCCGCAAATGTGAATGTTCCGGGCAGTCATTCCTCTCTGCTTTCTCCGATTCAGCTGGCTCTTTATACAGAGAAGTTTGAAGAGTTCCAGAACACCCTTTCCAAAAGCAGCGAAGTGTTCACCACGTTCAAGCAAGAAATGGAGAAGGTATGCAGCGGATCAAGGCTGTTGAGGGCAGGAGGGGGTGGGATGGGGGGGGGCTTGGCCTCTGACTGACTTGTGCCAAACCCTCAAAGGAAGAGTCTGAGTCCAGACGGAGGTCTTCCACCGTGCTTCTGAAACTGGCAGCAGAGTTAAAGGCTGGGACACATTGACCCACCCCGGACCTTGAATTTGTGTGTGTGTGTGAGTTGGGATGCCGTGTTGCTTCTGGCCTTTTGGTCCTGCTGTGCCAGAGGCTGCTCGAGGGAGCTGGGGCTGCAGCAGGTGCCACCGGGATCCAGAAGGCTTTTACGGCATCTTTTCCCACGTGGAGACGTAGGGACACCTCTGGCCTACAGAACTGCTATTTTGCAGAAAACAAATCAGAGAAAACGGGTCCGTCCAGTTTGGGCCAATCTGCTCTGTGGCAGCAGCATCCATGTCCCTTCCCATTCTTGTAGGCTGAAGATGTTGAAATTTTAAGAAATGTTTTGCAGAATCTTATATTCCCTAAGATATATTCATACATGTATTTATTCGTATCCCACCTTTATTATTTTTATACATAAGACAGCAAACATATCCAACACCCCCCCTCCTCCTATTTTCCCCACCACGACAACCCTGTGAGGTGGGCTGGGCTGAGAGAGAGGGACTGGCCCAAAGTCACCCAGCCGGCTTTCGTGGCTAAGGCGGGACTAGAATCCACCGTCTCCTGCTTTCAAGCCACCATTGCATATCGCTTCCCTGGAAATTCCTTCTCACCTTGAATATATTTGCAGCATTGTCAATGTCAGAAAAATTTAAATGCTTTTGATAAATGGTTAGGGTGTTTGGGGCTGGTTCCAATAAATACTTAGGAGTGTTCGTTTCCTGGTTGAGGTGCTTTCTAACAAAAAATGATTTTTTCCTATAAAACAAGTTTGTAGCACTGCCACTGTTTTTGTACCAATCAGGACTCAGTGAAACATTTTCATTTCTTGTTCATTTCCATACTGATGGCTTTCTTCCTTATAAAAAAAAACCAGTGATTTTATCCATACTCGACTGCCTTTGATTGCGAGGGCAAGAACCAGGTCACTCAGTCTAGTCTTCAATATTCCATCATCCCAGTTCTTGGCTTGCCGAAGATTGACAAGACAGGAAAGTGGGAGGGGCTTTGTAACTGCTCTTTCCTTGTTTTGGTTGCAACTCTCTAGATGACCAAGAAGATCAAGAAGCTGGAGAAAGAAACGACGATGTACAGGTCCCGGTGGGAAAGCAGCAACAAAGCCCTTCTAGAAATGGCGGAAGAGGTAACACGGCCCTCTCCCCTGGGGAGACCGAGGCTTTCTCATTGTGGGGAACGTAGCCAAGGAGGGCAGCCTTCCAAAATAGAGGAAGCTATCTTATCTCGTGCAAGACTTAACAGACAAAAAATAAAGATAAATCTAGAAACAATTAAAATTTTTGAAGTTACTTAAGATCTGAGACCAAGGAGATGGAACGTGCAGGGCTGAGGACTTATCCCGTTGGCCATCTACAGCAAGCAGTGCCCCCGACGGTGCTCCAAGCCAACCAGCAAAGCCAAGTTTTAAGGCCCCTCTGGAAGGCTGGGCGGGGGGAGCAAATCTCACCTCTGGCGGTAGTATGTTCCACAGGGCAGGGGGCCACAGTGGAAAAGGCTCTTCTCCTTGACAGCTCCAGTCAAAATTCCTTCACAGGCGGAGTCTGCTGAAGTGAGGGGGTGGGCTAATCCTGTTGGGCGAGACAATCCCATTGAGTTATCTTCAGAACTTCGTTCCAGGGACCGTCTTCAGATGTTTCCTTCCAAAAGCTGACTCTGGAATTGACGCTCTTGTTCCCACACAGAAAACCCTCCGGGACAAAGAGCTGGAAGGGCTCCAAGTGAAGATTCAGCGCCTTGAGAAGCTGTGTCGGGCCCTGCAGACGGAACGCAACGACCTGAATAAAAAGGTCCAAGATCTGTGTGCCTTTGCGTCTCTGACCACAGGGACAGAGGACCAGCCCCACGGCGTCCCAGATGAGCTGGCCCTGCAGGGCCCCAGGGCAGGAGAGGGCTTTGGTCTGGCCCAGGCAGCGGGCCCCCCTGAGCAGCCTGGGGCACTGAGCATAGGAATGGCAGCCGGGCAGCCAGCAGAGGAAGCTGCTAACTCTGCTCAGTAAAGCTGAAGGATATGCGGGCAGGTTGCAGCGTTCTCCAGATGGATCCGTTCCTCTTTCGAGGAAGCCCCGTGCTCAGATGAAAACTCTTCTGGGGCTTTCAGGTTAAAGCTTTTGACAATACTGAATGCTTTTTTTGGCTTTTAAAATAATCTCTCTGTATTATCCAACACTATGTACAGCAGCAACATCCACCTTTTATATATAGATCTATAAATGAGATTGATCCTGTTCTCTGCGTGGTGCTGTGTGAACATCTACGTGTGTGGCAGATCCAGCCGTCGATCCTTTTCAAAGGTGGGAAGCAAAGCGGGGGAAGCTTGCTAATTTTACCTCCTCCCATTTTAACATCTGGCTGTCGTAGCTCTCAGTGAGTGCCATACTAATGCAGATGCAAAGCAAAAATCCCGGTGGGACTTTGAGGATTAACTCTTTTCTTTTTCTGAATGGGTTTTTTTTTTTTTTTGAAATTACCAGACCTGCCCTTTAAAGTCAGTGCTGGAGACTCAGGAGTTTGATAATGTGGTAGATTATTCTTTTTAGCCTGTAGGGGTTTTTTTGGGGGGGGGGGGAGGAAGATGGAGAACGAAGCTGATGTATTACTGTGACGTGGGGACAGAGGCCAAGGTGCCCCTTTCATCGGTGTGGGTGGAGGAGGCGTCATCTCCAGGACTTTGCTACTTCCAGAATTGATGTCTCAATAGCCTTATGACTTCACAGTTGCCTCTATGATTATATGTGCGCATGCACACAGACACAAGCAAGTGTATGTATGTACTAAAGATTTAATCCAAAGGTTTTGCTTCCTTAACTGTTTTGCACATGCTGAGCATTCCTGCCTGTGTCTGTGCCTGGCGAATTTCGGGTGGCAAAGCAAATTCTCCTGTGTGTAACTTTCAAGGAGACAAAACTTAACCCCCCCAGTCCAGACCACGTAGGTGATGGGCCCAGGAGCTAGAACAACCTTGGCCCAAGTCTGGTCGCCTGAGATGTGTCCTGATAGCACTTTTGATGGATTGTTTGTCTATAGAATCATGTGGTGGGGAGGTGTCCTCAGAGCTTTTTGGTAATTTTGTTCATCTGGACCCTTCTTCACTTACAGCCAATTCATTATTTTAATTTGTGCCACTTTTGGTCTTAAAAGCAATCACAAACTTAATTCTTTTAGATAGATGCTAAGTCAAAGCCATTTTAAGTATTAATATAAAATTATTATATTGCTAGTAGCTTCCTTTCCACTTGAGAGAGATTTGGGAGAGCTGGTCACTGTTGCTCCCCCCCCAGTGGATGGCAGTCTCTCTGGAAAAAAAGACCTGAGTTTTAGGAAATGAGAATTGTAATAGTGTCAAGCAAACTTTCCAGTTTTTAATGCTGTTGTACAATAAACTTCTGTTGTATGTATCTTTGTACCCAATAGAAATGCAACATGTACCTGTTGTTTGTCTTCCTTTTTTGTCACCCGTTTTGATACTGTGAGAATTTGATACACAGTGGATGTTTCCACCCCTCCTTCCAGGTCCTGCTACTATATGCTGCCTGGAAGGGAGGGGAGGGGGTTTGCAAAAATGGCAGGGTCAACCAAGGCCCAAAGGTCTCCCCAGCTAAAGAAACAGACATCTCTATGGGCAGCAGCGATATAGGAAGATGTGGGAGGCAAATGGTTGTTTTTGTCACAACAAGCAAAGGCATCTTATAATGAGAAAACAACGATAAATAAAACTTGTAGTTTTACCAATTTGGCTTAGGTATAAACCAGAAAACAATCTGTCATTTTCTATCAAACTGATGATTTCTTCATTGTAACAAATAAACATATTCTTCAAACCAAAATAATGCCTAGGTGCATGCTAGACAGAAAAACTGGCTATATTGATACAAAGGTGGAAAAGTGCAGTTATAATAGCAAAAACATGGACTGGGTAGACTGGGACAGATTGCAAACTGCTCATGTGCAACTTCCCAATCGGACTAAAGCAAAAGAATAAAGATTACTACTTTCCACAATACGCTCTCGAGCATATAAACGCCATTTTCAAAGGCAACATCAGGAATCGCTTTGAGTCCTGAATTCATTGATGTGTAACCAGAGGAACCATGGAAGGGTATCAAATAACGTGAATGTGAAAATAGCGTGCTAAAGTTGAAGAAACAAGAAGGCACACTGGATGTCAGAACAAACTGGAAATTGTCAAGATCATTCACTCCTGAAGATGGACTTCCGGACCGTTCCCCCCCGCCGCAGGGAGACGGAACCGCGTAGATGGTTCCGTCCCAGGCGCCTGATGGACCCTGAGAGGTTCCTGACGGAGCTTGGGCCATATCCGGAGGATCTAGTTCACGACTCGGTGGAAAATCGGGCGGCGGCCTGGGAAGTAGCCGCTGCCGCAGCACTGGACCGAGTCGTGCCTTTGCGGCCTCTGACCCGGCGCAGATCTCAACTGGCTCCCTGGTTCACTGAGGAGCTGAGAGAGATGAAA